GCCCAAGAGGAACATTTCTTATTCCACTCTTAAGATTACTTCCCCAGTGACCTGGGAGAGGGAATGTTGGCCAGTTGGGACTAACTGTGCCCAAGACACAAGACCAGGAAGTCAGAGCCATATTTTGTTGGCCTCATTCCCTGACTGCAGGGCTAGGCTAGTAGGACTGTCCCAGAGGGCAAAGCGGGCTTTGCTTATGGAAGAATGAGAGATCCAGTCTTCTTTCCAGCACGTTACAACAACAGGTAAAACAGGACTTCTACAGTCATCAGAGTTCCCTGTTTCCCTTGCTGTGTTATAACTTGTCAGCTAGACACTGGGATGGGAATCTCATTCTCCATTCTGTGGCCACTTCTGGAGCAGAATGATGAGACAACCCCAAGCTCTCCAGAGCTTTCAGATGCCTCACTTGACTCCCCAACAGCCATGTTCTGGACCAGCAGTTGGCACCTATGGTCCATGAGCCAGATCTGGCCCAGGAGCTAAGAACAGTTTTTACGGGTTTAAAGGGTTATTTTTTTTAAAAAAAGACTATGTGATAGAGCCAGTCTGTAGCCCACAGAACCTAAAATATTTGGCCCTTTACAGAAAAAGTTTGCCAGCTCCTGTTCTTGACCCCAGTTGACAGAGGACAAAACCAAGGCTCAGAGAGGGAAAGCAACTTGCCTAAGGTCACACAGCCCAGACTAGAGCTCGGACTAGACCCAGATCTATCTGGCCGGTGTCAGAGTGTTCTCCATCACAGAATGGGGCTGGTCGTTCACATCATCACGGGTCTCAGGATTCCCAGTGGAAATCACTTACCATGGTGCCTGGCACACAGGAAGCACCTAACACGAGGCGAGCACCGTTGGTCTGCAGTGTCCCACAGCATGGGGCTTGAGAGCAGCTGCCGAGATCCAGGGAGAGGAGCCTGGAACAAGGGGCACTTGGGGGAAGGTGACCAGTGGCTGGCTTCCCTTTAATGTGAACTCTGCTTTCCCACCAGAGGGGTTTGAGTTCTGGAGCCTGGACGTGAACGGCGGCGACGAGTGGAAAGTGGAGGATCTCTCTAGAGACCAGAGGAAGGAATTCCCCAATGACCAGGTCAAGAAATACTTCGTGACTTCTTATTAGTAAGATCCAAGGCTGGGGGTCTCGGGGTGGGGGGAAGCCTAAGTCACTGCACCCTGGGGTCGCTCCTGCTCTGGGAGGGGCAGTCCGAGCCCCCCAGTGCCCTCGTGGTGAGCCCCAGCCCCTCCCACCCCTCCACCCGCCCCAGCACCTGCCTCAAGTCCCAGGTGGTGGACCTCAAGGCTGAAGGGTATTGGGAGGAGCTGATGGACACCACACGGCCGGACATCGAGGTCAAGGACTGGTGAGTGCCTGGGGCGAGGGTCTGGGGGGGGGCCTGCCACTCAGGCGCCCCACCCCCACCCTGCCCCCCATCTCTGAGGCCCTGACAGGCCCTCCCTCTGCCTGCAGGTTCGCAGCCAGGCCGGACTGCGGGTCCAAGTACCAGCTGAGTGTTCAGCTCCTGTCATCAGCGCATGCGCCTCTGGGGACCTTCCAGCCAGACCCGGCAACGATCCAGCAGAAGAGTGATGCCAAGTGGAGGGAGGTGTGTGTGCCGGGACGGGGGCGAGGGGCGCCGCCCGAGGCTGAGACTGCAGTCGGACTGGCCTGGGTTCACATCCCAGCTCTGCCGCTGCTCACCTGGGCTTTGGCTTTTCTGAGCTCTGAAGATGTCAGAGAAATGATGCTGGGAAAGCCATGTTCAAAAAGGTCAACTATTGGGGCCGGCCCGGTGGCGCAAGCGGTTGGGTGCGCGCGCTCCGCTGCAGCGGCCTGGGGTTCGCTGGTTCGGATCCCGGGCGCGCACCGACGCACTGCTTTGGCAAGCCATGCTGTGGTGGCGTCCCATATAAAGTGGAGGAGGATGGGCACGGATGTTAGCCCAGGGCCGTCTTCCTCGGCAAAAAAAGAGGAGGATTGGCGGGTGTTAGCACAGGGCTGATCTCCTCACAAAAAAAAAGAAAAAAGGTCAACTATTACTGATTACTAGTATCAGTTATTATTATTCTCTAGACCAGGGGTCAGCAAATGTATACTTAAAATGTTAGATACAGGGGCTGGCCCGGTGGCACAAGCGGTTAAGTATGCGCACTCCGCTGCAGCGGCCCAGGGTTCGGCGGCTCGGATCCCGGGCGCGCACCGACGCACCGCTTGTCAAGCCGTGCTGTGACAGCATCCCATATAAAGTAGAGGAAGATGGGCATGGACGTTAGGCCAGGGCCAGTCTTCCTCAGCAAAAAGAGGAGGATTGGCAGATGTTAGCTCAGGGCCGATCTTCCTCACAAAAAAAAAAATGTTAGATACAAATTTTTAGGCTTTGCAGGCCGTACTGCCTCACAACTACAACTCTTCAACTCTGCCATTCTGCGGTGAAAATAGCTTTAGCAAATGGACACGGCTGTGTTCCAATAAAACTTTATTTACAAAAACAGGCAGTGCCCCCCCCCCCACAGGCCAGTTTGCCAACTCCTGATCTAGACCAGTGCTGTCCAACAGAACTTTCTGCAGTGATAGAAATAGTGTGTGTCTGCACTGCCCAGTACGGTAGCCACTAGCCACATGTGACCGTTCAACACTTAATAAGAGCCAGTTCCTCATGCGACTAAGGGAGTAGAGTTTTAATTTTATCTAATTCTAATTAATTTTAACTTAAATCATCACATGTGCCTAGTGATGACCATACTGGACATCCTTTGGCAGCTTGCAAAGTTTCCTTCAGTTCCTTTGAGCTTAACTTAGATAATTCTGTGGAATTGACCCGGCAGGATTTTGCTCCATTTTACAGATGAGGAAACTGAGGCACAGAGAGGGGAGGTGGTCTGCCCAAAATCAGAGTTAGGACTAGAAGTCAGTTCTGCCGACTCCTGGTCCAGCACTAAGACCTCAGCCCCTTCCTTGCTCCCCTGCCCCTCAGGCAGTGCCACCCTCAGGGTCAGCTCCCCTGACCTCTCTCCCTCCCTCTGCCTGCCCCCCCAGGTCTCCCACACGTTCTCCAACTACCCACCCGGCGTCCGCTACATCTGGTTTCAGCACGGCGGCGTGGACACTCACTACTGGGCCGGCTGGTACGGCCCGAGGGTCACCAACAGCAGCATCACCATCAGGCCCCCGCTGCCCTGATGCCCTCAAGCCCCAATCCGCCGAACCCTGACTGGTAAACTGCTATCTGAGAAGGCTGGACTTGGGAATGGGAGGTAGAGGCCAGGCTCCCTCTGACCTCCTAGTTCATCCTTGCCTCCCAGTCACCTCTTCTTTGTGGAACCTCTCGGTTTGTGCAGCACTCACGTGCTGTGGAGGGCCAGCTCTCCACACGAGGTCTCACCCTGAATGATGGTAGGGGAGGCCTGCATGGGCCCCTTTAAGAGAAGGGGCCCCTGAGGTTAGGGAGGTGCAGGGTGTTCCCCCAGGCTCCTCCCCCAGCTTCCTCCGAGGGTGGGTCTCAGATGGCAACACAGATGTGGGTCTTTACCTCCGCCTCCTGGGCCCTTTCTCTCTGTCATCTTTGGGGGCCCTTGGGGCAGGGACAGTCAGGATGTCTGGCAAACCTGTGGTGCAGACACTGGGAGGTGACCATGTAGCTCAGACAGATCTGGGAGTGGAAGATCTGCTGGCCCGTCCTCTGCCCCGTTCCACCACTCCCCAGCTCCCTCACTCTGCCCGCCTGCTCAGAGAGGCTTTGGCCCAGAGGCTCAGGCCTTGCCTGAGATGGGCAGGCCTGGGGTGGGGCAGGGTCCAGGCCAGGTCTGGCCTGTCCTCACTGTCAATGAAGTCCCAGAAGCCAGATGGGTACCAGGTGGGAGCAGGGCTCTCCAGAAGACCCCTGGAATCCTGTGCACAGTTGGTCACCCAGGGCAGGGGAGGGCCAGGACTGGGCCCTGATTTGAGAGCTGGGGCGTGTGAGCCCTGGATGAGCGGGGTTTGCAAGGACCGCCTGTCCACCTCCATGCCTATGCCAGGCTCCCCGTGGCTTGGAGAGCATTCCGAGCCCCCACCCCACCTTTGGAACTGCCACTCTCAGGGCCACCCCACCTCAACCGAGCACCCTTCTGCCTCCAGCAGTGCCCCGATCCTGCCCCTGCTGCATGCGGCCAAATAAAATGTGTTCCCAGCGCAACCTGTGCCCTGTGGTTTCTGGGGGGAAGGCAAGTTTCATGGGAGGTCCTGCCCTGGAACTGCCGAAGGTGTCACACGTATGGCTTCTGTCCAAGGTAGAGAGAGGGGTTAGGGTTTTAGGAGCCAGGCCATTGTAGAACCAGGGTCATGGGAGAGACCCCTCAAGGAGCTGCAGACATCACCCCAGCAGCCCTCCAGTACTGCTAGCTTCCCCTGGAGGCCCGGCCACCAGGCAGGGGGTGGGCTGTGTGGATATCTCTGGGCCCCACGTGTTCACCCTTGCAAGCACCTCCTGCTGGGTCCCAGTGTAACCCAGGGCACTGGTGTTACTCCTTACTGGTGTTACCCTGCCGAGAGCTTTACTGACATTAGATGAAGACAAAGAATTTAAAACGATGCCTGGCACACAGCAGGTGCTCAATAAATTCTGTGAATTTTAGTTATCTCACTCAACAGTGAGGTAAATTAGGGCCTCACCCAGGGCAGCGACTACCACTCACTAGGTGTCTGGCAAGTTAGCAAAAACACCCTTCCTTGGAGAAGACGAAGCCCTGGAGCTAACAACCTGGCCTGGGCCAGGCACCCTTGTGCAGTGCACGGCCTGCACAACCCTTCATGCTTGCCTGAAGTAGGTGCTTAAATATTTGTTGAATGAAGAAAGAAATTAATGAAGTTAATCCTGACAAAAACGCAGACCATTTTACCTTTGAGTAAAACCCTAGGGAAGGGCGGAGCCAGGTTCAGACCCACAGTTCCAGCGCTCGGCCTCCACGGAGGCGCCCGTGGGTCCCCGGCGGGGCGCTGGCCCCACCTCCCGACGCGTCGTGGAAGCGGCCTCGCAGGGGCGGGGGCTCGGTTAGGAGGAGACTCGGCGTCCCCGCAGGGAGGAGGCGGCGGCGCAAGAGCTGGGTCCCGGCTGCTGAGCCGCCCGCCGCCTGGAGGGGAGACAGGCTCAGGAACGAGGTGCGGGGTTCCCGCAGCGCGGCCCGGCCCCGAGGCCCGCGGACCCCCTTTCCGCGGCTGGGCGGGGG